CAGAGGCAGGCTCACTGGGTGCTGCTGGTGAGGGGCAGTGCACAGAGGCAGGGCTGGTGGCCAGCCAGGGCCCCTATGGCTGCCCAGGCCATGGTGTTGTGGCCAAGACCCCACTGACACAGAATTCTGGGCCTGTAGAGCTGCTGTGACCATGTGGAAGGCAATCGTCTCCTCAAGCAGAGCTGCGGAGAAGGTGATGCCAGAGCTGCTGTGCGTGCTGGAGGACTGGCCGCTGCACAGCACATCCACCTCTGACAAGGACAACTCAGACATCTTTTCCCTGGCTGTGAGTTCCTGGACTAGACTGTAGCACATCCTCAGGGGCTACCTCTCTGGCATCTCTCTATCCTTCCTCCTGCACCAGTGATCTCCCCACCTCATGTGATCGGCTGGGAACCTTGGTTAAGGGCAGGTTCTGAGGCAGCCGTGTCAGATGCTCCCCCTGCATCTCCCCTGGACCAGGGCAATACCTGAACCTCACCCTCCCACACTCGGGCCCTGCCATGGGGATGTCTCAGTGCTGAGTGCTGTCTCTGGGTGTTTTGTTTTTTGCAGGCAACCAGAGCACTGTGGGAGATCATCCATCTGCCCCACCATCCAGAGGCAATGATGATGTATTTCCCCCGCCTCTTTGTGGCTCTGCTATTCCAAATCTTCTCCAGCACAGCGCAGATGCCAGTAGAGGTCAATACCTTCTGGAGGAGATGCCAGCAGGAGCACTGCCTTCCCACCAAGCCCAACAGGTGCTCCATCACAGTCCTCCCATCCCTCCCATGCCCTTCGAGCTGGGCTCAGGAATCCCGGCATGACCTGGGCTTTGCTCTGCACACAGATTCGTGGTGCAGACCATGAAATCACTGCTCTGCCATCTTGAGTATGAGGATGTGGTGCATGAAGTTGAACGTGAGTGTGGCTGGGACATATTCCTCAACATTGAGAACCACCACTATGCAGTGGGTCTGCTGGCCAGGTGAGACCTCCCTTCTCCCTGCTCCCCCATCATTTCTCCCCCACAGATGAGGTGGCCCTGACATAATCCCTGTGGTCATGGGTGAGAGGGACTTGTCACTGAGGCATGGCCCTGCAGAGTGGAAAAGCCTGGGGGAGCTGGGTGCTCTGGAGCAGCCACAACCCAAAGTGCCAGCATGGCCTCCCGTGAGTCCTGGGCTGATGGCACAGAACAGGAGGTCTGTCTGCAGGGAACCTCACTGAGGATAGCCTGTCAGGGCCAGAGAGATTTGGGGTTGACCATTGATGGCCATCTACAGCCTGGTTGCTCATATCCCCTGTGGGTAGGAAGGTGTTTTTTCACCAGTCTGGTCATCCCCAACAGATCCTGCTGGTGTTGGGTACTGCCTTTCTCCTTTAGAGACGTGGTGGGGAAGGACCAGGCTTTGGTAATTCAGTCTCAGGAGAGGTTTGCCCACCCTGCTCAGGGTCAACGATGCCTTTTTTCCTCCTCCAGAGCAATGCTCAGGGTCTCACAGTGCTTGTGTTACCGGATTGCACGCTACCTGTTCAGGCTGCTCTGCAGAGAGGAGGCTCGCTGGGAATTCCCTGCCGTGACATTCTTTGTTGAGGTGAGCCTGATGGCAAGTGCTGCCTCGCGGAGCTGCCTCCCTCCACTCTGCCCTCTTCAACATACAGCTGTGGGGGGAGAATTGCAGTTTGTGAAGCTGGGGCAGAGGGCGGGCTCTGCTGTGTGCCCTTGGCCCCTGCTGCTGGAGTCAAGTCTGCTGCCCACTTCAGCTTCACATTTTCAACATTCTTTTGCTTATCTACATGCAGTGCCTGGACATGATGGAAAGACAAGAAGAAAATAACTTTCTGCCTGTATTTCAGCATCATATTATGCCACAAACACCACATATGACCACTGTCACTGCTCTGTCATTTCAGCTCCTGCCTTGCCTTAACATAAAGGAATGGGGTGAACGCATCCTGCAACTTTTCCCAATCTACCTCAGGAGAGATTGCAGAGAGATGCGTCTCCTGCTGCTCAGATGCCTCCTGGTGCTCTGCAAGAGACCCTCTATGGTAAGAAGCAGGCTGCTGGCTGTAGCTGTGCTGGCCATGTGGGGCTGGGTAACACAGTAGTTTGGACTTGTCTGGGCTGTGTCACCTGCTGCCAGCATTCCTGACTCCCCATTCAGCCATCAGAGTCCTTCAGAACAGGCCTCTGGCTTCTTGGTTCTGAGGCAGTAGCATGGGGTTGAACTGCTGGAGTGGTTTTGGCAATGCAGCCTTTGATGGCTTCAGAACATTGCATTGTGCTCCACACAGGCCAACTCAATCATGGCCCTGACTGAATGCCTCACAGAGGTACTGAAGGATAAAGACGGAGAGGTGGTGGGCCTGACCCTTTCTGTGCTCAGCGAGGTGCTCCAGGACCCAGACGTGCCAGTTGCCAGTTCCATTGTTGTGCAGCTGGCTGAGGCACTCCTGCCACTATTTGAGAACGTAAGGCTCTGTGCCTCCTGCCAGGGGCACTGGGTGCTGCCAGGAAACTTTATACCTGTGGAATTTCAGGCCCATGCCCAGGTGGGCCTGGAGAAGCTGGTGCTGAGGTCTTGCCCTCTTCATTTCCACTAGGACACTAGCCATGTGCAGCTCCTCTCCATTCGCCTCTTTCAAGTGCTAATGGAGTTGGTAGCGAAAGAGGGAAAAAAGCTCCTGGAGAAGAATGTGCGCCAGAGCCTGTTCCTACTGTTCCGCCACTTGCATGATGAGAACCAGTGTGTGGCACAGGTGAGGACTTCTGAAATGTTGGTGTCCATATTGGAGGTGACTCAACTGCCTCCTGTGCTCCTGCCTCTTCTTGCTCTTAGCTACAAAGCAGCAGTTCTGGGGAACCTCTGTTCTGCTGTCCTGGCAGCACCAGATGCCTGAGATGGGAGTTGACCCATCACTTTACCCAGGCACCAAACCCACTGATGGACAAGTTCCCCAGATGCTGCATATTCCCACTAAGGGCCAGGAAAGGCCAGGAGCCTTGTCAAGGTATAAGGGATGCAGGTCCTGAGCCCTCATCAGTGGTTCCATCTCCCGGTATCTGCTGCTCTATAGGCTTTTTGGGAAACTCTGCTTCAAGCTAACACGTTCCTGCAGGAGAGGAAGCTCGAGCAACTGTTGGAAAAGACATGGAGCGCTGACAAGTCCCTGGTGAGGATAGATTCAAAGTCCCAGACTCATCCCGGGGACTCAGAATCCAGCGCAGTGTTGTAGAAAAGGAAATATTTCTCGTGGGAAGCTGGGGAAATGCCACGCTCTATCAGCAATACAGTTCCCTGCTATGTCTCCTCCAGGTGCCAACCATTGTGAAGGACATGTACCAATGGCTCACATTCATCATGGATGTATCTGCTGAGCACAGACTGGACAAGACCCTTCAGGAGATGAGCCTTGCACAGTCTCATGATGTGGTGGTGACCCTTCTGCGCTGCGCCCCATCGTGTGACAGGTACAGAGCCCACCTTCTTTGAGGGCTCAGGACTCACAAGCCATTAGAGCTCATCTGACCCATGACCCCTCTGTTTCCCTGTTGTGCCACGTCAATTGTGCCCTCCAGGGCACCATTACTTGTCTGCCTGCTGCCCGCAGAGGCAGGCTCACTGGGTGCTGCTGGTGAGGGGCAGTGCACAGAG